CTAAAAGAAGATGTGATGTCACCAAAAAGACAGCAGAGACCTGGGCTGAGGAGGAAGAGTGGATAACAGGTAACATATGAGGCAATGGAAGACTGGCCAAATCCCAGAGTGGAGTTGAGCTGCTTCTGCCTTTCCAACGACTTTCTTCCCCTGCTCCAGCAGCGGCATCTCACTGGCTTTGTCTACACTAGGAAACTGCGTGTAGATAGAACATACGTTACCTAAGCCCTTGGTTACACACCAACTTTGTACCACATTACCTGTGCTGATGTATTTAAAGTGGAATGACTCCCCTGGTGGGGATACAGCTATACAGGTGTAAAGGTGCCTTATACTGATATAGTTATCCCCAAACAGGAAGTGGGGGATTAAGCTATACCGTTAATATGCACCATACTGGTATATGTGCATACACACTCAGAACTGTACAAATATAACTCCTTCGGTAAAAAAATCACACCCCTTACTGACATAGTTATACTGGTACAAAACCTGTGTGTGGACCAGGCCAAATACATTTTAATTAACACATTGTTAATCACCATTTAGCACCTATTAAAGATGAAAAACAGTTGGATTTAAAAACTTGTGATATGGTCATGCTAAGAAAGGGTTGACTATGACAAATTAGCGTGTTTTAAACAACTGCTTTTATCTATGCCAGAGCTATGTCTACATTAGAAAGAAGGTGTATTTTTAACATATTAACTAATGTGTTAAAATCCCAATGTAGACATGCCCCTTGGCAAGCCTAGGGTAGGATAAAATAGATTTACAATATTAAATAGTTTACAAAAAAGGGGGAGCCAAGGTCTCTGCCTTGAACATCTTACAATATATATAGGCTGTAAGCAAATGGATAGACAGGATGCAATGAAAGGAAATGACTGAGGAAGGAGTGATATTCAGAATACATCTAGTTAATTCCTGCTCCCCTTCTTCTCTCTCTGCAAGGCCATCTATAGATAGCAAAACTTTCCAGTTACAGTCAGGAGTTGTTATTTCCATTGGAAAATCAACCCATGTTTGACAGGGTAGACCCAGTTATACATGAACATTGGGTGAGTTGCAAAGGCCAATTCCCTGCCCTCCTGGGGACAGATAATGGTATTCAGGCAGTTGGGTAGACAGTTCAGAGATGGCAGCTGGATCCAGTTCTGCTTGGCTTTGCTGTTAGGCTGTTCCACACACATCTATTGTGCAAGGAAACCAACTGTGTCAAAGCTTTCAAGGCAGGCTGCTTTGATGCAGTCTGCAAAAGCTCTCAGTGGTGGACTCTTTGCTTTAGCCATGTGGGTTCAGGATTCACAGCTAACTAGGCTGTGAGGTGTGCTTAGATACATGTCAGCCAAGTAGGAGAGAGGCTTGGCACACAGCAGGAGGTGCCTGAGATAAAATTCCATGAGGATCTTTTTTCTGCCTTCTGTTCAGCCAAGGAAAGGGCTTTTCTTCCTCCCCATGCTGGTACTGCGCCTCCTGGGGAAGTGCTCCCAAGCTCTCTTTCCCCAGCTTTTGCTGGTGCCACCAGTCCTTGAGTGGGGAAGGGTATCCAGGGATGCCCTCCTCCCACTGCTGCAGCTGGATGAGAAGAGGGGGCTCCTCCACTTGTGATTGGGGAGAAAAATGTTTCAGTGACATGGTCTCTACCTTTTAAAGCCTTAGATTTAGATTTGAAGCATTGTCACAATATGCCAGGATTCTCCTATTGCTCCTTCTGTTAACAGGCGCTGGAACTCTGCAAGGAGCAGCATGTTCACTGCTGCTGACTCACTGGGGCAATGTGGCTTATTTGACTCCACCCTGAATGTAAGAGAGGTGAGAGTACCTCCCTGACAGAAGGATTTAGGACAGTCAGATCTGGTCTGGTGGTACCCTAGGGATTAATGTTATGGTGGAGTTAAAACCAGACCCCTGCATGAGTGAAGTTTTGTCTCTCTGGTGAGTATGGAGCTCGGTGGAGATTCCAGCAGACATCAGTAGTACCCCCTTATGGAGAGAAAGTTCTTATGTGAAATGTCTAGTGTATATATAAACAAGGCAAAGGAGCGTAAAGAATATCACTAATGACTGTCTCAGTCATTAGTAAATGTCAGCATGTTGTGGGTGAGGTAATATCTTTTATTGGACCAACTTCTGCATGTGAGAGAGACAGCTTTTTGAGCTACACAGAGCTCTTCTTCAGCAACAGAAGTTGGTCCAATAAAAGATATTACCTTAGCCATCCTGTCTCTCTAATATCCTGGGACCGACATGGCTACAACTGCATTGTATATAGCATTTTGTGGTGATATTTATCTGACCTTACTTTTAACCAGCAAGAATGTGCTAGAAGATAAGAGAATAAGGAAATATTAACATGGAGTAAGGGGGAAAAATCAATGGGGATGTTGTGAAGGCCAAGATTATAACAGGGTTCAAAAAAGAACTAGCTAAGTTCTTGGAGGATAGATCCACCAATGGCTATCAGCCAGGATGGGCAGGGATGCAACCCCATGCTCTGAAGTGTCCCTGGCCTCTGTTTGACCAGAAGTTGGGAATGGGGAACAGGAGATAGATCACTTGATGATTACCCTGTTCTGTTCATTCCCTCTGAAGCACCTGGCATAGACCACTGTCAGGATATGGGATACTGGGCTAGGTCGAACATTGGTCTGACCCAGTATGGTCATTCTTATGTTTCTTATGGGATTATGCACATGGTTAAGTGCTCTGCAGGATTGAGGCCCAGGTTTCTGCTTCCTATGTGCCTCTTTAGAAAGAGTCAGTGGATATACTCCCATTGACTTCATTGGGCATTGAATCAATTATGGGCCTCTTTCTCCACTGCTATGCACTGTGGATATTACTTACACCTGTTCAGAGTGGCAAGTGAGTGTCAGAAGTGACTGTGATGCTTTGGTATTAGTTTACACTCACTTTGCAGAGATGTTAATAACTATACAAGGTGCCGGGCAGTGGAGAATTAGAAACTTTGTGTATAATGAAAACGTGCTGATAAAATCTTCATAAGCAGAGGCCATGGAAAAATGGAGTTCAGTAACTGTGCAGGTGCATATTCTCTGAAAGAAATACAGTATTTCATTTGCTGTTTAAAAAAAAATCAAAGGGATGTTTAAAGAAAGAAGTTATTTTTAGATGACAGAAAAATAATATTCATGTTTCACATTTTCATTTTTCTGGCTCTCATGCTGACAATGAGTTAGTTACCTGCTTATTATATATGGAATATTTCAGTCAGGTCATTTGTTCTTGAAATAGTTACCCAAATGACTTACATTAATCAGTATGTACAAAAAATATGCAATTTTATGTATGAAATATCTACAGGAAAATTAAGCATATAAATAAAACTAAAAAAATTAATCCTGTAGTTATTGATTCATATTTACTGGAGGTCGCTTTCAGATCTCAGAATACTGCAAAAAAGATTTAGCATGAACCATTTCTCTACAAACTGTAGGGTTTTTTTTCATTTTATTTATAACTGTTTTGTCTACTTCCTTTATTTTTATATTTAAGTAACTCAAATGATATGGTTTGCTTTTGATAGTCTATCTTTAAATACCAAAATATGAGAGTAGTAGTCTTTCTTTTGATGTAATCTTTATGGCTATTCCAAGAAATTTTCATTTTATTGTAATTTTTCATTTGCTTTTTGTAATTTTTTAATCTTAGCACAAGGTATCTCTTTCTAAGAAATTATCTAGTGAGTGTTTGTACCTCTAGCCTTGTTACCTGTGGATAAGATTTGTAATGCTTTTATATTTTGTTAAGTAACTAACACAGTTCTAGCTATCTCTCTACATATATGAATATGTAGGCCATACATATATTAATAAAACTAATTATATATTCCATCCTTGCAAAACTGTCATGAACGTTTACCAGCTGAGGCACAAAATCTACTTCTATGCCCTGTACCATAATGACAACGGAGGAAAAAAGATAATTGACTAGCCTGTAAAAATGATTTGTTCTGGGTGAACAGAATTTTGCATGGCTGTTACACTTCATGTGAGTTGTCAAAGGAGCACCTTTGGTATATTTGTAGATAGAGTATAGCCTGGCCACTCCATTCAAGTATCAGAGGGGTAGCCATGTTGGTCTGTATCCACAAAAAGAATGAGGTGTCCGGTGGCACCTTAAAGATGAACCGATTTATTTGGGCATAAGCTTTCGTGGGTAAAAAACCCACTTCTTCAGATGCATGGAGTGAAAATTACAGATACAGGCACATGAAGAAAAGGGAGTTACCTTACAAGTGGGGAACCAATGTTGAAGGCCAATTTAGTCAGGGTGGATGTGGTCCACTCCCAATAATTGATGACGAGGTGTCAATACCAAGAGAGGGAAAATTGCTTTTGTAGTGAGCCAGCCACTCCCAGTAACCCCATCAATTCGGGCTTGAATAGTGCCTGGGAGTGGCTGGCTCACTAGAAAAGCAAGTTCCCCTCTCCTAGTTTTGACACCTCCTCATCAATTACTGGGAGTGGACTACATCCACCCTGACTAAACTGGTCTTCAATATTGGTTCTCCACTCGTAAGGTAACTCCCTTCTCTTCATGTGACAATATATATTTATGCTTGTATCTGTAATTTTCACTCCATGCATCTGAAGAAGTGGGTTTTTTACCCATGAAAACTTATGCCCAAATAAATCTGTTAGTCTTTAAGGTGTCACCGGACCACTCCATTCAAGCTACACTGGAGATCCAAAAAGGAGTTAGTTCCCTCTATGTAATTGCCTGTGGATGGCAGTCCAATCTGTAGCACAAACTTGTTCTCTATTATTTATTTGATTTACTTTTTAATAAAAAATAGTAGCTAAATCACAAACACACTGACCATTTGTCAGCCTTAACCCTCAGAAACTTCAGGATTGCTGTGGAGACAGTTTATTTTTAAAGGAAATTTGAAAGGTAACTTCTTAGTGGGGCAATGTTTAGTTGCTCTCTGTTGTCACCGGAAGTACTAATTATTAAACATTTGTTTTTTGTAGGAGTTCTCTGGAATCTATCCTCGTGTGATGCACTGAAAATGCCAATCATCCAGGATGCCCTTGCAGTGTTGACTAATGCAGTGATCATCCCTCACTCGGGATGGGACAACTCGCCCCTCCAGGATGATCACAAAATACAGCTCCATTCATCACAGGTGCTGCGCAATGCCACTGGGTGCCTAAGGTCAGTCAGCTGAATCATGCTATTTTTATCTTGAATTTTCATTCCCAACATCCCAAATATTTTAAACTTGGTTTGCATTTCAGCAGGGAAGATGACTTTTCATATGGTAGTCCTTAAATCTTGAAATGAATTCCATAGAGAAGCTTTAAGCCATTCAAGAGCAATCTGTACACATTTTTTAAAATAGTTTTAACCGATCCCCTGCACCAGAGCATGTTGCAGATGTTTTTCTACTACTTGTAGATTGTCTCATTCCCCAGTTGCTTAAATGGTGTCAATATGTTCTCATTATCACTCCAACTTAATTAGTGTACAAAGTAACACAGACGCTTACAGAAAGGAATATTTGGATGCCTTCTGGGTTCCAAATGCCATTAAATGTAATGTGATTGTATAAAGCAGCTGGGGTTTTTTATGCAAGAAAGAGTGATGAAAAAAGATGTGTAAAAATAAACCAGCCCATTTAATATTATGGAACCGAAATACACAAACTGTTCCATAACAGGTATCTGCAACCCTTGAATATCTGTTGTTAATTTGTGAAGTTGATGTAGGGAAAAGGGTAGCAAGATCACGAACTGTTTCTTCCATGACAAATTTATATCAAGGGATTAAGTCAGAAACTCCTGAGTTCTAGTGTTGTTTCTTGCACTGACTTGTTTACTTTGGGCAGGTTCCACAACCTCTGTGTATCAATTTCTCCCTCTCTGTATAATTGAGATAATATTTATCTACCTCACAGAGTTATTCTGAAGATTAGTTAGTTAATGTTTGTGAATCACTCTGCAGAAATAATGTGCTATATAAATACTATGTATTATTGGTATTATTGTAATTGTAACTGTCCGTGTAGCTCCAAATGTTGGTATATGGTTAGACTTGCAATTAGGTGGGGTGTTTTGCTAGTTGCTCCATTACCTATCTGTCATGATCGATGAGGTGAGTTGCTTGGTTGGTTTCCGGTGAGTTATCTCATCCTTGGAAATAGCATCAGAAGTTCTGTGGAAAAATAATACAGTGTTTGCTTGACTAATGTTATGATGCTATTACAAGAACAACTGGTAATACTTCATAAATGTCTGCTGATATTGAACTTAAAACTGCAGCATGTAATGGCTACGTGAGGTGTCATAAATAAAAAGGGAAGGGTAAAACCTTCAAAATCCCTCCTGGCCAGAGGAAAAACCCTTTCACCTGTAAAGGGTTAAGAAGCTAGGATAACCTCACTGGCACCTGGCCAAAATGACCAATGAGGAGACAAGATACTTTCAAAAGCTGGGCGGAGCGAGAAACAAAGCCTCTCTCTCTCTGTCTGTGTGATGCTTTTGCCAGGGACAGAACAGGAATGGAGTCTTAGAACTTAGTAAGTGATCTAGCTAGAGATGCGTTAGATTATGATTTCTTTAAATGGCTGAGAAAATAAGCTGTGCTGGAGGGAAGGGATATTCCTGTTTTTGTGTCTTTTTGTAACTTTAGGTTTTGCCTAGAGGATTCTCTATGTTCTGATTCTAATTGCCCTGTAAGGTATTTACCATCCTGATTTTACAGAGGTGATTCTTTTTACTTTTTCTTCTATTGAAATTCTTCTTTTAAGAAACTGAATGCTTTTTCATTGTTCTTAAGATCCAAAGGTTTGGGTCTGTGTTCACCTATGCAAATTGGTGAGGATTTTTATTAAACCTTCCTCAGAAAGGGGGGGGGTAACGTTTGGGAGGATTTTTTGGGGGGAAGACGTTTCCAAATGGACTCTTTCCTAATAATAATAATACCGATTAGATGTTTGGTGGTGGCAGCGAAAGTCGAAGGGCAAAAGGTAAAATAGTTTGTACCTTGGGGAAGTTTTAACCTAAGCTGGTAAAAATAAGCTTAGGATGTTTTCATGCAGGTCCCCACATCTCTACCCTAAAGTTCAGAGTGGGGAAGGAATCTTGACAGGAGGTATTTTGGAATGCCTTAAGTATGTTAGGTATTTGCACTCTTCTGATTTTGAAAGGAGTTTGATGATATATCTTGGACTTGTGTTCATGTTTCGAGGCACTAGAGAGTAGAATCTCATGGAAATGTGTGATTTCCTACTACTGTGAAAGAAGTACCCATGATATCCCTGCCACGTTATCTGGAAAGAGTTGGAGTGATTGTGGGTACCAGTTGTGATGTATCTGCTTCTATTCTAGTAGCAGCCTTGATGGTATCTCTGCTCTTTGTTCCCTCTCTAAATTCACCTTTTCCTGCTTCACTTTTTATCAGTTAGTGCAGGGGTGGGCAAACTTTTTGGCCCAAGGGCCACATCTGGGTTGGGAAATTGCATGCAGGGCCATGACTGTAGGGCTGGGGCAGGGTGTTGGGGTGCAGGAGGGAGTGCTTGGTGTGGGAGGGGGTGCGGTGTGCAGGAAGGTGCTCAGAGCAAGGGGTTGGGGCACAGGAGGGGTGCAGGGTATATGAGGGGGCTCAGGGCAGGGGGGTGGGGTGAAGGATGGGTGGTTACAGCAGGAGGCTCAGGTTGGGGGTGAAGAAAGGGTGTGGCAGGGGGCTCAGGACAGGGGGTTGGGGTGCAGGGTGCAGAAGGGGTTCAGGGTGTGGGCTCCGGCCCGGCGTCGCTTACCTTGAGTGTCTCCGGGGTGGCAGTGGCACGTAGTAGGGCTAAGGCAGGCTCCCTGCCTGCCCTGGCCCTGCACTGCTCCCGGAAGCAGCCTGCACCACGTCCCCGTGGCCCCTGGGAGAGTGGGGGGGCAGAGGGCTCCACACGCTGCCCTCGCACCTCCCCCGAAGCTCCCTTTGGCTGCGGTTCCCCATTCCCGGCCAATGGGAGCAGTGGGGGGCGGTGCCTGCAGGAGAGGGCAGTGCACGGAGCCCTCTGCCCCCCCTCCCTCAGGGGCTGCAGGGATGTGGTGCCGGCTGCTTCCGTGAGCGGTACGGGGCCAGGGCAGGCAGGAACCCTGACTTAGCCCCTCGGCGCCATGGTGCTGGCAAATCCCGCGGGCTGGATACAATCCTGATGGGCTGGGTATAGCCCATGGGCCGTAGTTTGTCCACCCCTGAGTTAGTGGGATATGTAAGTGCAGACAAATTCACAGAGCTCTGTAACCAGAGCTGATCCAGAGAATAGAAGGGTGTGCTGTCTTCCAAGTGCTAAGATACGGGATGTAGCCCTGAGGTTGAAAAGGATCCTAAAGGGAGCAGGAAAGAATCCCCTAATTATCCTTCATGTGGGAACAAATGATACCGGTAGATTCTCGCTGGAACATATCAAGGGAGACTATGCTAGGCTGGGGAAGACGCTTAAGGAAATCGAGGCTTAGGTGATCTTTAGTAGGATTCTGCCTGTTCCTAGAGAAGGGCAACAAAGGTGTGACAAGATTATGACTATCAACAGATGGCTTAGGCAGTGGTGCTATAAGGAGGGCTTTGGGATGTATGGCCACGGGGAGGCATTCATGGACAGAGGACAGTTCTCTTGGGATGGACTTCATCTGAGTAAGGAAGGAAATAGAATTCTAGGATGGAGGCTGGCAAAACTGATTAAGGAGCTTTAAACGAGGAATTTGGGGGAGATGGTTGGGAGATGTCCAGATAATCTCCACGCTGGATTTTAGCATTGAGACGGAAGAAAACGAAGTAAGAAAGGATACAGCCGTGGGTAGGAGAATGGACATAAGGAGGAAAGGTAGTGTAGATACCAGTCTAATAGGTGATACTGGCGGTAGAATGTCTGTGCCCAATCGGGTAAAGAATGTGAACGAAGCCAATCAGCAAAAATTAAGATGTTTGGACACCAATGCAAGGAGCCTAGGTAACAAAATGGAGGAACTAGAGCTACTGGTGCAGGAAGTGAAACCAGATATTATAGGGATAACAGAAACATGGTGGAATAGTAGTCATGACTGGACTACCGGTATTGAAGGGTATGTGCTGTTTAGGAAATACAGAAATAAAGGTAAAGGTGGTGGAGTAATATTGTATATCAATGATGAGGTAGAATGTAAAGAAATAAGAAGCGATGGAATGGATAAGACAGAGTCCGTCTGGGCAAAAATCACCTGGGGAAGAAAACTACTAGAGCCTCCCCTGTAATAGTGCTTGGGGTGTGCTATAGACCACCGGGATCTAATTTGGATATGGATAGAGCCCTCTTTAATGTTTTTAATGAAGTAAATACTAATGGGAATTGTGTGATCATGGGAGACTTTAACTTCCCAGATATAGACCGGAGGACAAGTGCTAGTAATAATAATAGGGCTCAGATTTTCCTAGATGCAATAGCTGATGGATTCCTTCATCAAGTAGTTGCTGAACCGACTAGAGGGGATGCCATTTTAGATTTGGTATTGGTGAGTAGTGAGGACCTCATAGAAGAAATGGTTGTAGGGGACAATCTTGGTTCAAGTGATCATGAGCTAATTCAGTTCAAACTGAACGGAAGGATAAACAAAAATAAATCTGCAACTTGGGTTTTTGATTTCAAAAGGGCTGACTTTCAAAAATTAAGGAAATTCGTTAGGGAAGTGGATTGGACTGAAGAATTTATGGATCTAAAGGCAGAGGAGGCCTGGGATTACTTTAAATCAAAGCTGCAGAAGCTATCGGAAGCCTGCATCCCAAGAAAGGGGAAAAAATTCACAGGCAGGAGTTGTAGACCAAGCTGGATGAGCAAGCATCTCAGAGAGGTGATTAAGAAAAAGCAGAAAACATACAGGGAGTGGAAGATGGGAGGGATCAACAAGGAAAGCTACCTTATTGAGGTCAGAACATGTAGGGATAAAGTGAGACAGACTAAAAGTCAAGTAGATTTGGACCTTGCAAAGGGAATTAAAACCAACAGTAAAAGGTTCTATAGCCATATAAATAAGAAGAAAACAAAGAAAGAAGAAGTGGGACCGCTAAACACTGAGGGTGGAGTGGAGGTTAAGGATAATCTAGGCATGGCCCAATATCTAAACAAATACTTTGCCTCAGTCTTTAATAAGGCTAATGAGGATCTTAGGGATAATGGTAGCATGACA